TGCGCTTACCAATCCGCATTACTACAAAAGAGTAAACAAAAAAGGTTATACCCGGATTAGAGAAAAAGGGGGTTAGTGCGTAAAAAAATCCAGATAACTCTCTGGAGCGTACTTTTAGATTTCTTTTCGCGCGTCAACAGCACCAAGTTGAGCTGCATCGCGGCGTTTGAGAAGGGTTTCGGAAGGGCGATTGTGCTATTAGGTGCCAAGTTGGGCTGAGCGTTGCCACCACACTTAAGCGTGACAACCATTCCCCGGCAAATGACCTTATTGGTGAATGGACGCGTGGGACCGAGATTCAAGGCCGTCGCGGACTGCGGGATTCCCCCCGAAAGCGGCAAAGATGGAGCCCCTGAAACAACGGAGACGGACGTGGAGGCGGAGGTTGCTGAACTCCAGTATTCCAACTGCAGTTCGTATGTAGTTCGGTCGCTGTGTACGACAGAGGGGAGCATTCAGTTAGATAAAAAGACTCTTACCATGTAAGTATGGAGTGCAGTAGACATAAAACTAGACAAACATATATGGTGCAGAGGACATTCTATTTCTTGCTCTAGATGCGAGACCGTGGCGCAGTGGTTAGAGCTTTGAACTTCAAACTAACAAGGTCGCGAGTTCGAAACTCGAGCGGGACACCAATTTTTGGGGTAATACTTTAGTTGAGTATGACTAGCTGATGACGGCTAATAAGCCAGAAATGACCATCCTGGTCTCCCCTGTATTTTTCGATAATGTCCTCTCGCCTATCTCATTAGTCGTCTTGCGGCGTAGGCTCGAGTGTGAGCTCAAAAGGCACCACGGACGAGCGAGTGTGTCTTCCAACAGACTGGTGCACGCGTATCTGCCTCCCTCTCTCTCTCAGAAACGTCAGCACAATTACAGTGTGGTCCATGGCAGCGCCTTGTTGTCTTCTTCATCTTCTTTGGGGGATGATGATCGGGATAATTTATCTGGACCTAGTATGTTCACCTATGTTATATATATATATATATATATATATATATATATATAAGCCCGAAACAGTTCTGTATCAAGTTACCCCCGAATGCTGTCATACCC